ACAGAATTTGAAAGCCACTTGGCACACCTTCAACGTATATGCTACTTATTGCAAAAAAATCCCCAGGCCAGACCGCAGAACTTTGTTCAGACGGACAGACAAAATGCAAACAGTAGCACATTTTTTAAATGCGTTCAAACAGTAAGCTCCCCTCATGCTGTTTTAACGAATTGAGTTCGTATTCCGAGGACCATTTTACTTGGCGTTTTTTTTTTTTGAAGGCGAATGTTGTCACAGAAATAGATGAGAGCTCCAGAGTTCGGTAGATAGCGATTATTCCATAATCGACTTTTTTTAAGGGGAGGAGATAGCTTCTGAACTCGATTGCTTTTGGAAAAAGTAGCTAGAGCTAGAGCCGAATCTACCTTAAGTTATACTTTCAGAGGCTTATTAACTTTTACCTTGAGGCGAGTTTTTTAGGATCAAATTTTAAGAAAAAACTTACCCATGGGTGAATTTTTTTTTAAATCTCTAGCCTGTTGGAGCAAGTTCTTTGCGAGGGGGCATTTCTGCGGAGGAGAATTTTCACGTTTCGCAATATTTAGTAGTTCTAACGCTTTCGCCGATTATTGTTACCCGGCGGTGCCTAAAAATACAAATCGCTCGGCGGAAGAATAGAGAAATTTCGTCCTATTTTAAAAAGAAGGAATGTCCACCGTCTGCCAACAGAAATATTGAATAAACCGTATACAATTTAAATAGATCCAAGGGAAAGTAGGTGGATAACCCAATTTGCGAGGCGAGCTCATTGATTCGATCCGCGATGACGTTAGATTTTTTTTTAGTTCGGTATCAGAATCACATACAGAATATACCATGACAATATACTATTAAACAAATTCTTAGAAAAGTAGGTTATATTGGTATATGGCTTATAATTTAAATGTAACATTTGAAAAGCTCAACGACCTCCATTAACCCAAGTTAGAGAATATGGTGCATAGTTATCTATCGGGTGTAATTCATGCTTGTATTTGATAATCGATGAATAAACAGGCAAATCAAGGAGAATTTGTCAATGAAGCGATCGCGAAGGAAATTCTCTCGTGATGGAGATCATCAATTGCGGCAAAGTGCAATAACAAAAATCTCTAAATGGAGTGTAATGATTTGCATCGACGCACGATTCGTATTGTAAACGTTCAACAACCTTTTACAAGTAGTAAAAACGTCGCGCTGTTTGTATTTCCACATCGAGCACGTCACCGAAATTTAATGATAATGAACCACGAGCATACGTCAAGGAATTTTGGCATTTTTCGATTAGTCGAATGCAACCGCTGATCGTCTCGACTACCATTGTTTTAACACATCAAGGACAAGACGTGCAACGACAATCAATTAAGGATAATAATTGTGTTTGCGTGCACGTACAGTACGAACACGTACCTCATTTATTACTTTTGCAAACTTAACATTACTGTAGTTGCTTATCGATTTGTGTCCATCATTTTGCTGACGCTCGCAGATTTATTTCGATGCTCATGATTACTTATAGGCAGAAACTTTCGATCGATCAGATCATTAATTAAACCTTTTGCTGTTAGTTCGATGATTACATCTAAACAGATATGTCTACTTATCTTCAAAGATTATTAAAATCATATTACAGTCTTTATTAGGGCAATTTTGCATTTCAATAGCCAGGGAATATTTTGGCGTTGAATACACACTCATTACACAAGTAAGTTCTGAATAGGATTGATACAATAGCGAATCTGAAGCTAAAAATAGGGCAATTGAACCAATCATACTTTTTTAGTGCCAATTTGCACTCTTTGGATTGGCGCAGCCTCGGGCGCAGCATATTAGACATACAGTATACTGTTGAACAGAGGCTGGCGTGGCATTCATGGCTGTAATCACTAGAAGGATATCTAGAAAATAAAACAATTAGGATTATAACTAAACTCCAATTACAATTAAAGAAACCGCAGATATTTTACAGTGTCTGAAAAATGTTTTATCACAAAAGTTTTTTTTATACCTAATGATTGAACAGCTAACTTCATTTTTTTCATGCAACGCCCTGTGTATTTTATTCTAAACATTATTTTTCCAAAAAATGTAAACAAATTCAATATTTGATTTTTTCGATTTTTGTAATGTTTTTAAGTTTTATCCTTTAGATATTTTTAAGAATTTGTTATTAGATTAAAATATATAGGAACTTCCATTTAAAGAATGAGGTTAGGTCAGATAACTTTTTTGGGTGGAACTCCCTGTATATTTAAAACGATACCATATAAATTCTATTGTAGAAAATATAATACACCAGGAATGATATTCAAAAAATATTTAAGTGATTTTAAAAAATAGTTCAAAAAGGCATACAACAATTTTTTTAAATCTTTTTTGGGTCAATATTGCATTTTTTTGAATTTCTGTGTTTGTAAAAAAAGAAAATGTTATGCAATCTTTTTGGATTAAAATATACAGGGTGTTATAAAGTGAGGTTAGGTCGGATAACTTGTTTAATTTACCCTGTATACTTATGAAATTTTTTTTATTTTCCCCCGTATCTCTTAAACGAACGAATATTTTCAATTTTTTTGTTTTTGCCATTTTAAGTTTGAGACAAAAAGAGCACATGACGCCTGTATTACTTTTTTTAGCACTAACAATTACGGAAATACCCTAGAAAAATTTGAAAATGGGACACGTTCTCCATTTAACGTGCATCATATAGTAAAATTTTGTCAAAATTCTTATTATCTTAATGATATTTTCAAATCATTTTGATGATAATGAGAATCATTAATTTGATCTTGTTGATAACTTAATTGGCCAGTTCAATCATGTAATATATTCTCTGAAAGGAGAAATTTGATAGCCGTCTGGCACACCTTCAAGGTATGGAGTACCTACTGCAAAAAATTCCAGGATTCGAGCCCCTAGAGGCAGTTCAAAACGGCAGAAGTGAGTCCGGACGGACGGGCAAAACGCAAAAAACAGCACTTTTTTTAATTCTTATAAAATGCGCTAAAAACTTTGTTTAAATTTTATGATGTAGATAAAAAGTATTCATTTTCAATATTTTATTGATAAAAAAAATTCTTTTTATCTTAATTACCAAGAAGATAATTTTAAATGACTACCGCCTTTACAGGCTACAGAGACATAGAAATACACTGCTTTATAGGAGTAAAAAGAGAAAGTAAGTTTTAATTAATTTATTTATTGTCCCTCTTGTTCTGGACCATCAACAGACTTGCGCCCAATTACAGAGTGACTCGCATAATGCTTTTTAGAGGTGCCCCTGCAGAAGGTCTAAAGTTGTTCTACAATGCCATAAATTTCCGTGTTTGTTAAAACTTTAAGATTCATCTTCGATTCTACACAAAAATTGGCATCAATTAGAGACTGTTTAACACCTATGTTTGTTAAAACGTTAAGATTCCCCTTTGATACTACCTAAAATTTTAACTTTTATTGAACGACCGTCGGAAGGGGTGAAATCCGCCTATAATGTACAAAAATGGGGGGGGGGGCTTTTCAAACAATTTCTAAGGCCGTCTACATTTTTTTATTCTTAACAAAATTTGCGGAGACCAGTTTTCCTACGGCCGAAAATTCCGGTGGCGAGTTTTTTCAAAGTGCCAATCTTCGGGTGGGGGGGGGGGTTAATTCACCGGCGCGACGCTTCCGGAGACCCTACAACAAATACCTATTAAGAATAATGCCAGAGTCAAATCGGCGCATACAGCTTGTACGCAAGGCACAATTTTACCACGGATGGAATTCAGTGCAGAAAGGTACATAGCGTCTAGCGGCAAAATATTAAACTAAAATAATAACAATAACAACTAAACGGAATTACAGAGGAAATATGTCTGCTTGAGGCTCAACAATAAAACTTTTAAAGTTTTAAAGTTAAAGTTTAAAGTAAACTCTTTACTGGTTCTTTAAAGCCTGATGGCTTCTTTAAATACTCTTCAAGGTTGTACTAGACCTTTCCAGAGGTTTTAGTATGAGGTAAGATCTTGGAAAATTCTGCTAATGCTCATTTAAAAATTCTCTATAAGGTTTTCAAAATCATTAATGACATTTTAGGAACCATCATTGATAGGACTTTTTTAAGATCTTGAAAGATACCTCGAAATTGATTAAATCATCAAGACTCATGACTGAGTATAGAAGACTTCGAAAAACTAGTAATCTACAGGACCAAGACTTAAAAATCTTTTAGAACTTTTACGACTCTTATAACTTTTAAGATCTTGAATTCACAAGACGCTCATATGCTCTTTCATTACGATTCCATGACTGAAAACTATTCGATACCTCAGAATTGCCGAGGATTCTTCAAAGACTAGCCAAATTTCTAAAAAAAAGGTAGAAAATCCGACTTTTTAAGATCTCTTAAAAGACACTTTTTTATAAACGTTCAAAATAACAATTTGAAGGTTCTTAAAACCCTTTTATAACTTTTTAGGAGCTTTGTTGGCCGAATCCATGTTCATGTGAAATTAGTGTATTTATAACAGTGCGAACTATTTATTACTTCGGCGTTGACATTGGAACTGTCCTGAATCATAATTTGATTTCCTTATATATCAAACCCCCCCTGTTTCTCGATAGTGCTCGAACACATCCGAGATGTTCTAGAATGTTCTCGAACAAACACATCATATTTCTAGGAAAGATTACGTCACATCCGCCCTCATTCTTTATCGCCGATAATTAATCTTTCATGGCGCCTCGATATCTATCGGGATTTCGGGAAATACCAATCGAGATCCAGGGGAGTTCGGCACAAGCTGTTTCCCTCTCACGCGGTCCGCAGGATAGGTGACATCGTAACTGCGATTTGGAAAATGTATAAACAATTGAATATTAAAAGAGTTGTAATGTGATCGCCTAATAAGCTAATGTAATGGTGGCAACAAAAAATCGTAATATCAATATTTGTAGTGTACTTATTGTTATTTATTGGGTAATTTACGTTGGCAAAAATCGATAAGAAAGTAATTCTCCTAATTTCCCTTTTTTTGTTTCAGGTATGGTTTGGTATCCTTCGCACGAAGATGGGTCCTATGCCTTCAACCTAATAACAAGTAAATTTTTGCATTTTAATTGATTATTAATATAGCAATTTGATTTATTTAATAAAAGTGTAATGTGCGGTTGTAATAATGATAAATCACCTCGTTTATCGTTCACTATTTAAAATGGTAAAAGGGAAATTGAGCCGGCTAAGATTTAATGGACTACAATTCCCGTATACTCGTTAGTAATAAAATTAAGTAACGGCCTTAAATAATTGAGGTATAATAAAAAAAATCAATACTGCGGTATCAATAAAACTATAAATAATTTATTGCTTACAATTTGTAGTAAATCGTATAAAGGTTGCAAACCACTTCCTCATCCGTGCCCGCGGAGGGCATTATTAATTTATCAAATTTCGCGATAAAGGTTGTAATTTTTAGCCGTATTGGCGTTTATTGCGTTAAAATTTGAATTTTTACGATTCACGAAATCGCTTCGGTCTTTTTTTAATTCTCACATTTATGCCTCTAAAACGTGACAAAAATAAGGGTAGTTAATATTTATCGAGGTGCGTTTAATAAGAGGCAATTAACTTGTCAAGCTATTCAAATTAAGAAAAACTTTATTGGGGCTGCGTTTGTGCACGAAAGCACGCCGAATATTATAAATTTTTTAGATTCGAATCAAAGTAATGGATGGGTCAACATCATCAATGAAAATATGAATCTAAACGAGAAGAAAATGAACTGAACTCAATTGATAGACCTCGAGCAGAAGTTCTTCAGGTAGTCAATGTTACAGAAACCATCCAATGCGGTAGATAATTGTCTAGAAGTGTGGGGGAGACTGTAAGGAAATTCCAAAACATAGGGTTCAATCATTACAATCGGAATGGGAACGAATTGAATAGAATAGTAGCATGACACAATGAATAGTAGGAGGAAAATTATGACTAAAAGTACTACAGAGTGATCATAAGAGTATGTAAACTTCAAGGCGGAATATAGATGATTCGTTACACAGGGGCAGTTTATTTTCTCGAATAAGCAGATCACATTTTCCGAAAAGAACGCGCCACATTCGCTTTTGTTGCGTATCGCCGATAACTAACCTTTTATCGACATATTGGCGTCTCGATGCTTCTGGAATATTCGCTACAATACCAATGAGTCACAAAAATTGAAAAAAAATGCAGCTTAGGCAAAATAAACTTTCCCTGAATTACTTAATTGAAAGGAAATTGAAATGTAGTAGCATCACTATCATTCGACCAACATTTTGAGTGACATTAGAGCTAATTAAAGATCAGTACACAGGGTGACTATTTTGTCTTCAAAACAACATTTTTTAAAAAGAAGCTTTTTATGGTATCCCAAATTATTTTTAAAAAATGTTACTAATCTATGTACTTTGAATTTGTGGTCAGTGGCGTACTTCTGCATGGTTAAGGGGGGAGTGCATTTTTTTGTCATAACTACTAACAAAAGAATATAGTTTTTTTAATGCAAACTAGTGAAATTATTAAATTAATTAACACAACCATTTTCTTAATTTCAGTTTTTTTTTTCTAAAATTTGATTATGTAATATGTTTTATATGTTTGCTATATACAAAAATGCGGTCTCTTACAGAATATGTAACGAAAACTAGTAGTTGTCCTTAAAAAAATATGCTCCGCTTCATCATGCAGACGTACGCCACTGATCACAAATTTAAAGTAGGTACGTAAATTGGTAGCAAACTTGGGCGAGGTAATGCAGCAACTTTCTCCGTCCAACCGTCCGCCGCAACTAAAGTCTGCCATATGGCGCTGAGCCCCACCTAGAAAGTGTTCTTGCCCCCACTGGTAGTTACGGTTGATGGTTCCTTTACAAAAATTACAGAGGAAATGAGTATAACTTTTGTTTGAAACGTCATTTTAAAAAACTGTTTTTTTCGCATCTCCGTTTAGAGGTGCGCCCTTTCGTGGTAAGAATTTAAACATTTTTTTTGCAAAATCGAAACGGGCATATCCGAAAACCCATTCAAAGACGTGCTACCTGTCTTTCTAACTCTTATGGTTGCTGAGAAAAAAATTAAAGAAGAAATGCAAATTTCACCACTTTTGTGGGGGTGGCTCCCAAACGAAACACGTTGGACCCTCGGTGATTGTTTTGATTCCCTCTACCACCCAAGACTGCGCAGTACTAACTTCTTATTTACGGAGATATTTTTTTGACATTTAAGTTTTAACCACAGATGCTTCTAGTAATGGAAAACATATCGCATGTGTTAAAAATCAAATTATGCGCATGCGCCGACTGTCCAAAGTCAATTTTCTTACTTATGGAGATATGTTTTTAATATTTTAACTACAGAGTACAGGTGCTTGTAATAAAGGAAAACTTATCCCAAACAGTAAAAAATTAGAAGGGTGCATGCGCAATGCTTACTTTCTTATTAGAGAAATATTTATTTTGGTCCCCTCCCATTCTTTTTTCTTTCATCCTGATATCTGTTACACCCTGTATAAAGATTAAAGGTGTTGATAAGTGTTTTTTCAAAAATCACGTTGCCATATATTATGTACCGGGTGACCCAATAAGACTGTTCCTCGGCCATATCTCGGGAACCGTTCGTCGTATAACTTAGGGGTAAAAAAACTTATTGGATAAATCGGTTATGAAGAATCGCTGGAAAATATTTTCAAGTTCTAAAAATGACCACCAGAGGGCGTAATTGCCATCTTAAATTTTAAAATTGCAATTTCTTTAAATTTCGCATAATAAACTAAACATTCTTTTTTCACATTTTTAAAGAGAACCAGTTTATCATTTTCGTAAAAACAAAAACTTAGTTATTTCAAAAACAAAGATAGTGTGGGGCGTTCAATTGTTTTTGCAATAACCTGCTCTAACTTCTTAACCGTTTGAACGATTTTAACAAATTTGATATCGTTGAAAAGATCATTCCTTGGGCAACAAGAATCAACCAAAATAAAGTTAATTTAGTTGAATCCTTCTCCGCCAGGGGGCTAGTCTTGACACTATGATCCAAAATCCTAAAAAAATCAAATGGAATGATAGGAATTTTTCTTTATGAAACAGTACCCAATAACGCCCAAAGAGGTCAGTGAAAACCGTTTTTCAAAATCTCGTTCCTAACCTCAAATATTGGGAAAATGAGATTAATTAATTAATTAATAAAAATGCTTAAATTGTATTGTTTTCACTGGCATCTTTGGATGTTATTTGGCTACTTTTTCATAAAGAAAAAGGTCATATCATTCCATTTGATTTTTTTAGGATTTTGGGTAATAGTGTCAAAACTAGCCCCCTGGCGGAGAAAGATCCAACTAAATTAACTATATTTTGGTTGATTCTCATTACCCAAGGAATGTTCTTTTCAGTCATACCAAATTTGTTAAAATCGGTCAAACGGCTAAGAAGTTAAAGCAGGTTATTGCAAAAACAATTGAACGCCCCACACCATCTTTGTTTTTGAAATAACTGAGTTTTTGTTTTTAAGAAAATAATAAATAAACTGGTTCTCTTTCAAAATGTGAAAAAAGAATGTTTAGTTTATTATGCGAAATTTAAAGAAACTGCAATTTTAAAATTTAAGATGACAGTTACGCCTTCTGGTGGTCATTTTTAGAACTTCATAATATTTTCCAGCGATTCTTCATGACCGATTTACCCAATAATTTTTTTTATCATTAAGTCATACGACGAACGGTTCTCGAGATATGGCCGAGGAACAGTCTTATTGGGTCACCCGGTACTTGTACATCAAATTTGCGTCTTGGATATCCGAACCCGTTTATTTCAAACTTTTTGATTGCGTCTGTGATCATTTATCAAGTTTACCCAATTTTTTGGCACCTATTGACGCACATGCCGTCACCTTTACCCACTAAATTAGCAATTACACCGTAGTTAGTGATCGCTAGTGTAATCAATCCAAACATTCTGCGACGACACCCCCGGGCCGCAGAATTTTCCACTTCCCGTCAAGGTGTTCGGTAAACTCTGCTTATTGATCAAAATTTCTCCTACAGCTCGACCGACCGTCGATTAGCTATGCTAAAAATGCGACGATACACGCATACATTATAATTAACTGCACGAGGTCTTATTATAATTTTTATTGTCTGTGGTAAGGACGTTTACGTGCGAAACGTACCGCAGAAAAGCACGTGCTTCCTTCTTACCGAGAACGAAGAACGTCACGTCTGGCGGTTTAAATCGCGAGGGCCAGATACGAGTCGAGTGATGATTTGTGACGAAGTGCCTTTACGACATAGGTACAACTAATTTGTTTGGGGAGGAAATTAATTCAGGCTCGTCTCTGAAGTTGACTCTATTAATAAACATTAGCCCTACCGTCGGGCGGCCGCGCGCGTAATCAATAACCGACTGATAAACAAGAAGGGCTGCAGACGGGAAGTGCTACATATTTACAATTCGCGAATATTCTGAATGATATTCCTGGTCGGTCTTGAGGACATCGTTACATTGAACCAAAGAAACTCAAGGTGAGTATCTTCGTTGCGCTTAATTGCCTAGCTCTAAGTGATAACGCAATCGCGAAGGTCGATGTCATTTTCTTTGTAACGCTTGCCGAGTCGGTTGTAATAATAATAGTAACACGAGTAGAAAAGGTGCAAAAGGGGGAGGGAGTGCTAACTAGGGCGATGCCGGTGAAAGCCTTGTGAATGCGGGGGCGGTTGGTCGTCCGGGATGAATGAGCGCGGTATCTATGGCAACCACGCCACTACGGCTGCATTGATTTTGAGTGCTCCAATCCCCAAGGTTGGATGGGGTGTGTGTGTGTGTGTTGTGTGTTCTTCTGACGGCGAACAAAAGTTGCTAGACTGATTTTCCTTTTTCTTCCCTTTCATTGAAAACTGTCACAAGATAAGGAGTTATATCTACGACGCAAGGGTGGGAAATTTAAATCCCCTTCCGGCCCTCTTCGACGTTCTCCTGGTTTAAGCGTTTTACGGGCAAGGGGTTGATGAATGAATGCGTATCTGTAGACGCAAGAAGAATTAGGTCACGGTTTGGGTTTTTGCTAAATTCGCGAATCGATCTATTTTTTATTTTTAGCGCATTCAAGCCCTGTGTGCGAGTGGATTAGAAACTAGCCGAGTCATTTGTCAATCATACGATTTTTACGTTTTTGGAAATGAAGGCAAGTGAAATAATGTGTA